CAGTCTGGGCAACAGAGTGAGACTCCAACTCAAAAAAAAAAAAAAAAAAAAGGTGAGGATCTAAGTCTCTGTCTTGCCTCCCTTCAAGGGGTGGTTGAGGACATAATGAGACAATGCAGAAGCCCTTTGTGGGCCATGGGAGAAAGGGAAATGGAGTGTGCAAAGGATCCTGATGAGGAAACTGCCCAGGTAAGCGTTCAAGAGGAAGTTAATTGTAGGAAACTATGTTGACTGGATCCAACTCACTGAGAGATGGTGGTAGCCAGGTATAATTCAGCGACACAAAGCAGCTTATTCTTGCAGTCCTTCTCGTAGGGCAGCTGTAACCAGACAAAGATGGTCAGGATCAGCCCAAGGACTCATCTTTCCCAGCAGCCCTGTGGCATGGTCTTCTCCTTTGTTTTGTTTTGTTTTGTTGAGTTGGTGTCCCATTCTGTCACCCAGGCTGGAGTACAGTGGCACACTCATTGCCACTGCAGCCTCTACCTCCTGGGCTCAGGCGATCCTTCCGCCTCAACCTTCCAAGTAGCTGGAACCACAGGCGCATGCCACCTTAGGGGCTCAATTTCTCAGGGGCTCAATTTCCCCATTTGCACAGTGAGGGGCCCAACCACTATCTGAAGACCTCTCTTCCCAATTCTAACATCCTTTGAGATTAGGAGAGCGGGTGCTTTTTGTGGGAAGGGCCTCAGAAGGGCTGGGTCCTAACTGTGGGGAGAGTTACCTGGAAAATGGCAGAAGGCTCAGCATAGTGGTCCAGGATGGGGTAGGGATGATCCCTCCATCCCTCAGGGGTCTGGAGTTGGTAGCTGATCCTGACACTGATATTGGAAAAGCAGTCCTCTTCACAGAGCTGCAGGGGCACCACGAAAGGCAAGGTTAGACTTATATGTGGGGGGAGAAGATAACAAGGAGAATACTTCTAACTTTGATGTAGTAGTAAGAAGAAATAAATGATGAAACTGGTGAGCCAGAAGTCCTAAGCATCTTCCAAATAAGGCTGAAGGGAAATTTCCTTCAAGCAGCCAAGAACTTTGGAGAAATCTCCTTTGATTTGCTATGGCCTTGGATCTCATCGTTCCTTATGGTTCTTGCCCCAATCACAAAGGGATTCTAGCCATCAAGGGTTAAGAACTTTATGCAGAGAGGAAGAGTCATGGTCACATCTGTGCTGACAAAGGTCTTTCTCAAAGTAGTACATATTAGGAGAGGTAAAAACAGAAAAGAGAGATTGCTTAGGACACCATTTGCTATTCTCTTTGCTCAAATGCACCATTCTGCTATAATGAGAGCTTTGAACACATGAGAGTCAGTGAGCATGATTCTCTGGTGGAGAATATCATTAAGCCTCTACTTAAGGAAGGCCATAGACTTGCTGGAAACTCTTAATCCAATTAACAGTCATTTTGGGAACAAATGTTTAGTTGAAGCATAATTCGTGAGTTTGTTTATTGGAATATATGATCCTTATAGGTCCAAAGTTTAGATCATGTTAGGCTCTGAGTCTCGACAAATATATATATTTTCATGTCTCTTGGCATCTTTTGCCATGAATAAACCTTTCTAGATGACAATTACTATCTTTATTTCTACCCTTTTACTTGTTCAGTTTTTATGATGCTGATTCATATTCAGGCCCACAGTCACACTGTTATCAGGAGAGATTGTTATTCCTAATTTACTGCCGAAAAAAATGTCAGCAATTAGAGCACCTCTACCTCCCATCCTATTATGTGGTTCCTGGTCAGTTATGATTATTCTAATCACCTTGTTTGTATGTATGAGCATGTATCCTTCACTGCATGCACCTCAAGTCTTTTATCAGTGACACAGACTCCTCTGGGCTGCCGTCTAAACTCCTCACTCACCTCTCCCTCTGTGGGGGTGAGCAGGAGTTGCTCACAGAGACTGGACCCATTGCTCCACTCTCTAAGGTAGCTCAGACAGGGGATCCTGCCAGAACACTGCAGCCTTTTCCTCTGCTTCCCCACATCCACGTCCAATGTGAAGTTGAGAGATGTCTCTCTGAGGCCTGGGAATGGAGACCAGAGCATCCTGAGGAGGTGGGGATGGGTGAGCCCACAAGGAGCCTCAGGTAGGAACCCCAGATTGCATGCAGAAGCCTAGCCTGCCCCAGTTCTGTGCAAGTCCCTCCTGAACTGTGTCCCCACTCAGGCACTTCCCTGGGGCTGGACTCCTGAGTTTCTTCTTCATTTCAAACATGCTTTTCTTGACCAGACCCAGTGGCTCATACCTGTAATCCCAGCACTTTGGGAGGCCGAGGCGAGAGGATTGCTTGAGCCCGTGGGCTTGAAACCAGCCTGGGCAACATGGTGAGACCTCGTGTCTACAATAAATCAAAAAGTTAGCTGGGCGTGGTAGCACACACCTATAGTTCTGGCTACTTGGAAGGCTGAGGCAGAAGGGTTGCCTGAGTCCAGCAGGTTGAGGCTGCGGTGCCCAGGAGCATGCCACTGCACTCAAACCTGGGTGACACAGTGAGACTCCAACTCAAAAAAAATATGCTTTTCTTATTGTCTTCTAGCACCTGGCCCAGGTCCCTCACTGCACCAGCCCCAAACCCAGAACTGCACATTCCCAGCACTGACAACCTTTCTTAGGGCAAGAGGGCTAAGGAAGGAAGTTGGGATTGAGTGAGAAAATAATGAAGAGGAGAAATAGATACTGAAGAGAGAAAGAGAAACCATAGAGTAAAACCCAAGGATGGCAGAGCTAGAAGCACCTTGGAGGTTCCTGGGCCAACTCTCTTACTGTACAGAACAGAAACTGGGTCCAGCTAGGGAAAGACACCATCCTTTGTCACACAGCCCAACAGTTTCTGTGTCCTAGAAGCGATAGGTCTATCATTTTCTACCCCTATAATTAACAATAGTCTCCTTCTGCAGTAAAGCCACCCCACTTCATAAGACTGCTCTCTGGCCCACAGGAAGCAGAGAATCACCTCAGGGATTGTTACTGAGAGATTAAACTTTGGGGGCTGTTGCTGAGGAATTGTTCTAGAGGGGAGAACTTGGGTTGACAGCAAACACCTGGGCTGTGAAAGCCAAGCCCATCCTCTCCTTTCTGGAAACAGTATCAGGTAAGGGGATGGGAAGAAATGCTAGGCCTTCAGAAGGTTATCAAATCCCACCCAGGCCAGGAGACCTGGCGAGGAGGGAAGGGAAGATGTAAATAAGAGAAAGAGGGCAGCATTTCTCAGAAGCCCCTACACACATGTACAGACAGGCACAGTAGACAGAGATGAAGAAATGGCTGCCTTTTTCTGAGTCTTCAGAAACTTGATGCTTCAAACTGTGAGGAAGGCATCCAATGCCCCTCTTCCCAACAGAATCAGATAAACCCCTCCAGAGTGTGGGTGTAACATCAGACCACCCTCTTCTGGAGCATTTTTTTCTTTTCTTTCTTTTTTTTTTTTTGAGTTGTAGTTTTACTGTTGCCCAGGCTAGAGTGCAGTAGCATGATCACAGCTCACCACAGCCTTGACCTCCTGGGCTCAGATGATCCTTCTGCCTTAGCCTCTTAAGCAGCTGAGACTACAGGTACATGCCACCACACCCAGATAACTTTTTAAAAATTTATTGTAGAGACAAGATCTTGCCATGTTGTCTAGGCTGGTCTCAAACTCCTGGGCTCAAGCAATTCTCTTGCCTTGGCCTCCCAAAGTCCTGGGATTACAGGCAAGCCACGACACCCAGCCTGGCCGTGTACATTCAACAGAGCCTAATGACAAAGAAGCTAAGCTCTAATGAGAGATTTCAAGCACCAGAATCTCATACCGATTCCCATCCACCACCTACCCCAGTCCTCTTTCCCTGTGCCTCACAGAAGCCAAAAACGAATGACCATAACCCTGGGGAGTCAGCTAGACTGCCAATTACCTGACTCAGCAGCTATTGCAGAGCTGATTTCAAAACACAGGTGTGCATCCACGGTGCTGTTGAAGCCAATGGGCAGTGCACTGGGGTTGAAGGTCATGGACACCTTCAGGTGAACCACAGGTCGTGAACTAAACAAGACAGCAAAGAGGACCATGAGAAGTGACCATAGGGCTTCTGAGTCAGTGCTTGGCCAATGCATACATGCATTCAATGGATATTGAACATCTCCAATATGCAGGTGCTGCTCTGAGTCTCCAGAATACAGCAAAGAAAGAGACAAGCCCCTGCTCTGGTGGGAAAGTGGACAACAAGCACATAAATAGGTGAAATGCTATGTACTGGTAATTCTATGATCAAATAAAATAGGATAAGGTAATAGGGACTGAAAGCTACTTAGACTGGGTGGTCAGAGATGGTCTAACTAATAAGGAGGCATTTCATTTGAGGTCTATTAACAAGAAAGAACTAGCTATGTGAAGATCTGGGGAAGAGCATTCCAGGCAGAAAGCACAGCTAATGCAAGGGCCTGTGGCAGGAACAAGCTTGATTTGAGGAGCACAAAGATCAGTGTGACTGGAGCATAATTAGTGACACACAGGGCAATATCAGGAGATATGAATGGAGGGCTGGGCAGGGCCAGGTCAGAAAGAACCCTGTAAGCCATGGTGAGGAGTTTGGATTTTTGTTCCAAGTGGGAGCCATTGAGAGGTTCTAGGCAGCAGAGTAAAGGGGTCACGCTGGTGGCTGTAGGAAGATGGGAGCACAGGGAGTGGAAGCAGGAACAATTGCTGTGGGTATGGTCCAGACAAGAGATGACAGTCTTGTGCTAGGAAATATTTTGGTGAAAGAGCCAGCAAGAACTTGTTGATGGGGTGGCAAGAGAAGGAAAAAGAGCAATCAAGGCTGCCTCCAAGGTTTTTGCCCTGAATCTCCAGGTGGAGGATGGTGCGACTGCTGGGATCAGAAGCCTGAGGGAAGGGCAGGTATAGGGGAATGGAGGTGGGTGAACACAAGAGCTCAATTCTTAGACATGTTCACTTCAAGAAGCCTTTGAGGGGTGCTGAATAGACAGTGAGTCTGGAGTTGGGTGGAGAGGAGAGGCAGACAGGTGCTCCATCAGCTTATTTATAGCCATGGGACTTGATACTTCACCTAGAGATGGAGCACTGAAATCCATAACAGTAGCCATCACTGAGTACTGTGCTAAATACTATTCACTCACACAAGCCTCATAACTCTGTGAGGTAGGTGCTTTTCCCACTTAAGAAAGTTGGGACATGGAATTAAATAACCTATCCAACAGCACACCCATGAAAGCTGAGGTTCAACCCTAGATGGCCAGACTCCAGAGCCTTTGCCCTTAACCACTGTGCTTACTCCCCACTTCAGTGCCTGCTGTTTGCATGGGCCATCTAGGGTTGGACAAGTGGATGAGGCTAGGGCCTGGGACCCCAGAAAGCAGGGCAGAGCCCTACCGGAGCACAGCTGCCCGGCCCAGGGTGCCCACGGTGATGTCAGCAAGGCCATCGCCACTGAAATCTAAGCCACCAGCTATGGACATGCCGAAGTACCGGAGTCCAGGCGCCACCGCTGAGGCTCTGATGCGCTGCAGGGAGAAACACAAGGCATGGGGGAAGGGTGGGGGGGAGAAGAAAAGGGGGGCCTTTTGTGCTGTATTTCAATCAGTAATGTCAGTCATCCTCTACCCAGGGAGGCCTCAATCTAGAAACAGGAAAGAGGGGGCAAGGTTTCCCAGAGGAAGTGGCGTTTGAATGGAGCCTTGAAGGGCAGGTAGGACTTGATAGGGGAGAGTGAACGAGAGATGGGAAAAGAGCAAGGTCTTCTGAAGAACAGCCAGAGGCCAGTGGCGGTAGTGGGAGGGGATTTGGGTGCAAGAAGGCTTGATTTGGGGCAGGCCGGGGGGATAGAAGTATCAGCAAAGGCTTTTTTGAAGAAGTGACTGAAAGGGCAGGGTGGAAGATGGAAAGATGGAGAAAGCTGGAGCAGAGTGGGAGCCCAAGGGCAAGATGACAAGGCCAGAGTGGAGAGAATGGTGGTAGGTATGAAGAGGAGGGACTGGATTTGTGAGATAGCTGGACTCATAAGAACATGGGAACTGACAGGCTGTGCAGGATGTCAGCATGCTGGAACTATCCCAGGTTTCTGGTGTGGGGGCTGAAGGGTCACGAGGTATCAGAGGAATGGCAGGTCTTGGGGGGAGAGGATGCTCACAGTTGGGCAGCATGAGAGTAAGCAGGCTGCGGCCCATCCAGGTGGAGGTGTTCAGGGGCAGCCAGAGGCAGGTGCAAGTGCCTACAGTAGCTCTAGTGTGAGAAGCAGGCAATGGAGCCCCAGGGGATGAGAGTTAAGGCAGGGAAGGTTTGGGGAGCGGGGGACAGGAGCCAGAGGAGAGACAGAAAGAGAGGAAGGAGGGACCCAAGGCAGGTCCACAGAAGGAGGGAGATATAGATTGGGGAAGTAAACAGATATTGTCACAACCCCTCCTCTCACCCGAAGGGTCTAGGATGAGGCCCTGGCCTGGACCCTCCCACCAGCCTAAATGACCTCTTTCCTTCCCAACCCCCTCAGGCCTGCCCAGCACTGAGTGCTGGAGCTGACTTGGGGCTCAGGTCATCATATCTGGGGGAGGTCAGAGCCCCAGAAAAGAAGCAGGAGAGAGCCCATGAGTCACCTGAGAGGGGCTGGCAGAGAGGCCATCCCAGCGTCCATTGTAGATGTACACGCTGCCAAAGCCAGCACCATCATCTGCCCCAAAACCCTCCAGGGGAGCCCCGATGGCCACATCTGTGAACTTATCTTGACTGATATCCCCCACAGTTGCCATGGCAAAGCCAAAGCGGGCATCAGTGAACCCAGGATGCCCACTCAGCGTGTGTGCCAAGGAGAAGGAACCATCCTGTAAAGCAAACAAGCAGCTCAGCCCTCAAGAAAGGGGCACTGGCGTCTGTCCCATTGCTTCTCAAGGGGCACACTCACTGGACTTGTGGATTCAGATTCTCCAGTAGGGAGTCTGAGGCACAGGAAAGGTGAGGGAACTTCCCAAGGTAGCACAATGAGCCCGTGGGAAAGCTGGGGTCCTCCTGCCTTGAAGTTCAGAAGGCTGCCCCCTTCTACTCCTACAGATAGGGGTGGTGGACTGGCAACTGGGAGGCCTGGATTCTGGTCTTAGCTCTGTCACGTACTTGCTAGGTAAATTTGAGCAAGTCTCAACATCACTGAGGTTCTCTGAGCCTCAGCTTCCCCACCATCAAATGGAAGTGACAGCTGCCTCCCATAGTTAATATGAGAAACAAGTGACAAAATGGGCTTTGTCAACCGGACAACTATAAGGGATGTTACCGTCCACAACTGCCCTTGGGTGAGAAGGGGCGGGAGTGGGGCAGCTGCCCTACCAGCAGCCACCCCCCTCCTGCTCCCCCCCCACTGCCCACTGGTACAAGGTAGGGCCAGGGCACTCCCAGCCTCCATCTCCTCTGGGCCAGGCTGAGTAGCCATAGCTTTCGCAAGCTCATGAAGATAGAGACTTCCCACCTGCTCATGCAAACGGTACACGTAGACTCTGCCTTCTTCTCTATGAACGTGGTAAAATGGAGCAGCCACCAGCAAGAGGTCCGTGGTCCCATCCATGTTGATGTCCACAGGGCACAGCTCAGAGCCAAAATAGGACCCCATCTACAGCCCAAGAGGAACTCAGCTCACGAAGAGCCTCCTTCCCCACCCCTCAGCACGGCTAGATCCCTGCCCATGCTCTTCCTTGACCACCAAATTTGGGTTGTTCCATATCAATTTGCTCACTTAGAGTAACACTTGATGGGGAGAGTGATAGGGGAGAGGAGATTGGGTGAGCCGCCTGGTCTCCCACAATGGGGGAAACCACCTGGCAATCAGACACACAGAGCCTGGGCAGAGCCACTGAGTTCTACCCAGGAGCCTGAGCTTTGCCCAGGTTGGGCCCCCACACACTGTCCTTTCCCATAGGGCCTCCAGATCCCCCATCTGATACAAAGGGGTGGAGGCCTTCCCAGCAGGTACCTGCTCCCCCTCCAGTACTGGCAGGAAGCTGGCCTCTCTGCTCTCCTTCTGGAGCTCAAACACCGCCCCTCGAAGCTTGCGCCGTGGAGCCCCTGCGACGTAGGAAAGGCCACAGGCCTTGTGCAGCACTGCCACTGAGTAACCTGGAGCGGGAGTGGTGTGCCTGTGAACGGGAGCTCCTACCTGGCCACTCCCTTGGCCCTCACCTTCCCAGTCAGAGTGGCCCAGGGTCGGGGGCAAAATAGGAGAGACTTTCTCAACATTTAAAAAAATCGGCATTTAAAACATCAGGGGAGTGCACCAGGTAGGGCTCCCACTTTCCACTGTGGCCAGTTACACATGTGCCCCACTACACAGATGTGATACACACATATATACATTGTCACATACTGCTTCGCTCAAAATACACATTCACACATTCACACACATTCACTACCCATGTGCATCACACACACACACACACACACACACACACACACACACACACACACACACACACACTCCACGAGGACCCAATGAAGGGTGAGAGGACGCCCATCACTGTTGTTAATGGAGAAACCCGCCCTCCCGTAGGCAGCCACCCGGGGCGCCGTCCCACCTCGCCCGCCCAGGCCCCGCCCTTCAGCCCGTGGGACCGGCCAGGACACGCCCGCTTGGAAACCTAAGTGCAGCCTTAATGTCCCAGTCTCGGCTCCGCCCCGCCTAGGTAGCCCGCAGGCCCCGCCCTCACCCAGGTAGCCGTACTGCACAGCCTCCGCGTCCTTGACAGCCGTCTGGTTCAGGAAGCGGCCGCGGCGGCTGCGCGTGTTGTAGAGCAGCACGCCTCCAGACCAGTCAAAGGCCCCAACGGCGCCGAGCAGCACCTCTCCCTGCAGGGGACCGGGACAGGGCCCAAATGAGGAGAAGGGAGACGGGGTCTCCCGACGGTGCGGCGGATCTGCAGCGAACCTTGCAGGGAAAAGGCGGACGTTCAGCGGCCCATGCCCGCGGAGCCAGAGATGCAGGCAGGTTGAGAAGGCAAATACTGGGTTCCTGCCTTGTACCCACGACCCTGTCAGACAGCCCTGCCTCCAGAAGCCGATGTGGCCCAGATGTTGAGTATTTTATTTTGTTATTTTATTTTCTTGAATCCAAGTCTCACTCTGTCGTCCAGGCTGGAGGGCAGTGGCATGCTCACAGCCACCGCAGCCTTGACCTGCTGGGCTCAGGTGATCCTTCCACCTCAGCCTTCCAAGTAGCTGGAACTACAGGCAAGCGCCACCACTACCGCTAATTTTTTGATTTATTGTAGAGATGAGTTCTCGCCAAGTTGCCCAGGCTGGTCTCAAACCTGTGGGCTCAGGCTATCCTCTCATCTCTGCCTCACAAAGTGCTGGGATTATAGGTGTGAGCCACTGCACCTGACCGATGTTGAGCATTTTAAAGAAATATGATTGAGCAATATAGTGCTCATCTCCTCCTCAGGCAGCCCAACCTGGGCCTGGCACACAAGGCCACCTGCATTGAGTAAAAGTGGAACCGTGCTTCCACCATACACAGGGACCGAGTCCTCACCCTGCTATCTCTCCCTCCCTGTTGGGAACAGTGTGGTCCTCCCAGAAAAGTAAGCAACTTGGCTGGCAAGCTGACCCAAGCCAAATCCTGTTTCACCAGTCTGTATCCAAGGGAAAGATTTGGTGTTGGAGCATACAGAACAAAATCTCCTCCTGTAATAAATTTGGACATCCTTTTGTCTATCTCAATGGTCCAGGTGAAGGTGAGTAAGCAGAAATGGTTCCCTGTATCCTACCCTGGCTCCTTCAGAGGCATCACCACAGGGAGGGCAGAGCCCTGTGCATAGGCCTGAGTCCCTGCATCCTAGGTGTCACTGGGGTTCGTAAATGGACCTACCTGCCTGGCACTAAGACGGCCACGTACCTCATCCAAGATCTGGGCGCTGAAGCCAATCTGTGCCAGCTGGTAGTGAAGGGCCTCTCCAACTGTGCCTGAAAGCCAAGAAGCACAGGGAGACACTGCTGTGGGCTGATGTGAAGGGAGAAGCCAACCCAGGAATGGTCCAGCTTGGTTTCACTCCCAGAGGGCACAATGCTTGGTATCACAGGAAGAGCACAAGGCTGAGATTAGAGACCTGGGTTCTCCTTGAGCAAATACTAGCTGAGTAGGCTTGGGCAAGCCACTCCCTTTTTCTGGGCCTCAGTTTTGTCATCTGTGAGCTCCTGGGAGAAAGGAACTGTGCCTCAGTCATCCTTGTTTCTCCAGCACCAGTTCAGTTCATCAGAGTTTCATGGAGATTATGGGATGTGAGGAGGGCTGGGGATATTGTCTTTTTAAAGATGGAAAGCTGAGGCTCAGAGAGGTGTTGGGAGTTGCTCAGAGTACGGAGGGAGGATAGAGGTAGGGCTTGAGCACATGGCTCAGACCTTCTGCTGAAAGCTGAGGAGGCTGCCACAGGGCAGCCAGGGCCCAGGGAAACCAAACCTCACCTTCCGTGCGGATGATGTTGTGCTGCAGTTTGCTCAGCAGCCCATTTAGCGCTGTGTAGTTGGTCACCTTGAAAGCATGGGTCTCATCAGGGTCCGAGGCAATCAGCTTCAGTTCTCTGTCAGTCCCAACTTTATCAAACGCATTTCCCACCTATACAGAGGCCCTGGGTCAGCAGGTCAGCACTGTGAGTGGTAACTGGCTTCCTCAAGCCCTAGGGTTTGCAGGCCCAGGGAGAGAACAAAGCCACCCCCACCCCACCCCACCCCACCGCCCACATACACACACACACACACAAACACACACACACACACACACACACACACACACACACACACACACACATCTCTGCACATGCTGTTCCTTCTGCCTGCAGAGCACTTCCCATCTCCCCTGTGCCCTAGGCCAGCTACTCCTGTTTGTCTGGCAGAACTCAGCTCAGCATCACCTCCTCCAAGAACCTCCCCCGATGTCTTTACAGTGGGCTCTCCCACCACTATTTGGCCAGTAATCTGTGGTCACCATGGGGAAATGAGCCCTCTGTGGGATGACCTGAAGGTGGCGTGTGGGGAGGAGTGTTTGTGAATAGAGCAGGGGATGGGTAAACTGCTTACAGGAACCTCTATCAAGAACCCTGGCTCCTCCCTACCCCAAGCTGCACAGGGTCAGGAGATGGCTCTCAGCTCCTGGCTCTTACCCCAATAGCAAAGCGCTCAACACCCTGCATTTTGGGAGAGTTGATGACAGCTGTGAGGTTGAGGGGGTCCTGGAATATGTCACCATCAGTGAGCACCACCATGATCTTGGAAGCCTTTTTTCTGGAGCCGCGGCTTGGCGTGAAGATGTTGTCTCTAAGCATGGGAGAGTAAATGAAGAGAACTTTGCAGAGGAGTGATGAGCTCTGGGGGAAATTGTATTCGCTGACCTGTGTCAGAATGAGATTCACAACACTCCCACGAGGCTCAAAAAGGGTATAATGTCCCTTAAGTCACACAGAAAGGCTGGGTAGAGATAGGGCTGCAACACAGGTGTTCTTGCTCCTCACTGCTCCCAACAGAAAGGTGCTAATGGCATTGCATCTATTCCTTTTGTGTGTGTGCAGGAAGATAGTATGTACATAGCACGTATTATGTGCCAGGCACTGTTGTAAGCACCATATATATTTTAACCCATCTAGTCCTCACAAAATCTATGAGGCAAATAATATTATTATTCTCACTTTAAATGTGAGGAAATTGAAGCACAGAGAGGATAGAGAACTTGCCCAAGGTTACATAAATACAAACTGGAGCTGGAATTTGTTTTTGTTTTTTTTTGTTTGGTCGAAGTCTCATTCTGTCACCCAGGCTGGAGTGCAATGGCATGCTTACGGCCACCGTAGCCTCGATCAGCTGGGCTCAGGTTATCTTTCTGCCTCAGTCATTCTTTTTTTCTTTTTTCTTTTTCTTTTTCTTTTTTTTTTTTGAGTTGGAGTCTCACTCTGTCACCCAGGCTGGAATGCAGTGGCATGCTCATGGCCCCTCAACCTGCTGGGCTCAGGTGATCCTTCCGCCTCAGCCTTACAAGTAGCTGGAATTACAGGTGCATGCCACCATACCCAGCTAATTTTTTTTACTTTATTGTAGAGATGAGGTCTCGCCAAGTTGCCCAAGCTGTTCTCAAACCCCTGGGCTCAGGCAATCCTCTAGCCTCCACCTCCCAAAGTACTGGGATTACAGGCATGAGCCACTGCGCCCAGCCTGGAGCTGGAATTTGAACCAGGCAGCCTGTCTTCTGAACACTCGGTGCTCTACCAACTCTCACGAGAGGAAATCTTTGGAGGACAGCCCTGGGATGTCATCCCTCACATTCCCTCTCAGCCAGGGAAACATTAGACCATTGGTCCCCTCCTCTCACAGTTCTGCCCAGTCACTTTCTCCAGATATGATGCCACAGAGATTCTGGGAGTGGCCACTGACTGGCATCCAGCAGATGCTCAGGTAATTCCTGCTGTCCTCACACTCACAAGACGTATTGTATGGCCGAGGCAGTCTTGGTGACATTTCCCACTTGAGTGATGTTCTGGACTCTGGCAAGGGAGGCCATCTCATCCTGGCTGTCCCGAAGATCAAATTCAGTCTGGATCACTTCCCCATACTGCACCAGGGCAAAGCTGCACTGCAGGGAGAAAGGTGCAGGTGGGAGAAAAGGTTGGCAGAGTTGCCATGACCAAGGCCCTCTTGCCCCTGAGATGGCTCCCCCTGGAAGCACTCATTCTACCTTATTGCTGCAGAAGGAGATGCTAAGGCAGAGAGAAATCTCTAAGCAAGTTGGGATAGAGAAGAGTGTGACTATAACGGCTCACAGTGAACCACAGACCTCTCCCTGACTCCTTATGTAGTCCCCCTCCACACTGACTATAGGAATGGCCATGTGACTTGCTTTGGGCAACAGGACATCAGCAAACGTGATGCAATTAGAGACTTGAAAAGTTGCTTGCATGCATTGGGTCTTGCCTCTTGGAATGCTGCTGCCATGAAAAGGTTGGGCTGGCTTAAGAGGACACATGGCCCAGACAAATGAGGAAGGTCATCCTAGGACACAGAGCCCCAGTCAAGCATCCAGATTCCTGCAGTGCAGGATACCTCCAGACAAGACTGACTCAAGAACCACCCAGCTGAGTCCAGCCCAAATATCTGACCTACAGAACTGTGAGCAAATAAAGTGATTGTTGTTTTGAGGCAGTGTGTACTCAGCAATAGATAGGTTATAAACTATATGAGACGAGTCCTTAGGGAAACCCACCTCAAAACACTTCTCATAGAAGTTCTTCATCATGTTGGAAATGAACTCTTTAGCTATCTGGAAGTCTTGAGTATCAATGCTTCCTGAGCCATCCAGGATGATGGCGATCTCAGTGCCTGGCCAAGAAAACAAACAGGTCAGGAGTGGGCCTGGAATTTGGGGCAGATGTGTGGGCAGCATGTCATTCCCTATGAGACACACTCTCCTATTCAAGCCCTGAAGGCTCAGTTCAGGGAAGAAATAAGGAAAGCTCCCCATAATGAAGCTCTTGTCTCAGAGGCAAAGAGAAAGCTAGAACCTTCTCATGCTCTGACATGCTGTGGGAGTCATTCCCATCACTCTCACTTGCTGAGACTAAGTTTCCCCATCTGTAAGACAGAGGGTGCAGAGCTGAGACTGGCCAGGATGTAGAATCCAGCCACGGCTCCCCATCTCTCTGACTGGCCCACCCCTCGCCCTTGGAGGCTGCCAGCCTAGGGACTCTAACAGACTCCGGGAACAATCCAGGTCTGCCTCTTCTCACCAGCAGCATCCTCTTCTTCTCCTTCCTCCTCCTCTTCCTCTTCTGTCTTCTCCAGAGCCCGACGCCACCTGGCTGTGTTCTTATTCTGTCCCATGCTCCCTTCTTTGTTCCTGTAGCAGTCTCCAGCGTCCACATGTGCATCTGGATCCAGGAGATTTTCTTTAAAAAAAAAATACACACACACACATGGAAGAGGTGAGAGTCAGAAAGCCTCTATATTCACCTTAAGCAAACTTGCTTGCCTAAGGCTCTGCCCTGATTCTTTCATGGAGGACCTCGAGCCTGCCTTGTTCTACTTCGGGCCTTTTTCCATGGCCAGTAAGTGTCCAATCCTTACCAAGGTCGAAGAAGTTGGCCTGGGCCTGGGGACGGAGGTCAGGAGCCAGGAGGCTACAGGTGCCTGTGAGTTCTGAGCTGAGGCTGTGGGGCCTCTGGGCCAGTACTTGAATGCATATCTGGGGGAGAAGAAGAAAGGGAAGGGAAAGGCTGTGTCACCCCCACGTTCCCTAGCTATAGCTATACTATTGTCCAGAACTCAACCGGGCAAGGGACACAGGAATACCTAGCTCTCCCCTCGCCAGGGGTAGGAGTCAGTGCTGGGGTCAAAGTTGAAGTCAGGACCTGTATGGGTATCCTAGGTCACATGGAATACCTGGGTAAGCCCTGGAATCAGCATAGGTGGCCAGAGCAGCAGTCAACTCTGAGGTCAGCACCAGAGAGACAGCTGGGCTTAGCCCTGGGACTAACATCCAGTCAGAACTGGCATCAACACCAGAGTCAACCACAGGGGTTAGTGCCAGCTTCCCTCATGCCCTCCATCCTCCCGCCCAGGCCTACTCACCAAAACACCGTGGTGGTTCCGGACAACTGTCACTCCCCGGTGCCTCCCCTTTGGGATGGGGATGTGCTCTGAAACAGTTAAACCCAGGTAAGGAGAGAAAGACATTGGGATGCAAACCCAGAGCCAAGGTCAGAGGGCACAGAGCCACCTTGGTTAGGACCCCATGAAGAACTGTTGGCCATTCACAGTAGCCTCTAGAAGGCTAGAAAAGAGGGCCTTCAAGGTCAGGCCTGGAATCTCCCAGGGCAAAGTTCCTATCTCTAGGGCTCATTTACTGACTCATCTAATAAATGTCCCTTGATGTCAGCTCTTTGCCCAGCTTTGTGACCCATGGTGATAGGCATCTAGAAATGACTGAAACCCAGGGCTTTTCTTCAAGGGGCTTCTGGTATAGTAGGGAGGCAGGTGGAGAAGCACCATCTGGTGGGTTTGTACAGTACCAGGGAAGTGTACAAGATGCTGTGGGACTGGCTATGTGGACCAAGGTACCCTCTGGCCTCACTGCCCACAGCCCCAGGGGCCGAAGTGGTAGCTCCTTTCTCTTCTGCCCCATTGTGGGCCTTAAGATACTGTCTTATTTTTGAGTCACAGAATTACTCAGTCCCCCTGCTGAATTCATCTGGGCAGAGACTGATTCTGTTCAATTCAGTGCCTCCCACAGAGACAAAGATTCTGCTTATATAGCCAAGAGGCTGGCAATAAATATATGACTTGAGTTGCATTAGATGGGATGGGGAGAGTTTGGTTAATGAGGGAATCAGGTTCATTCATTCATTCATTCATTTATTGAGTGCCTAATATGTGCCAAGTCCCATGCCAAATGCTAGGATGGCTACAGTTAGACTGGAATCAGTGGGCTTGAATTCCATTGAGGTGTGATGGGTTGTGTTGGGATGGGTTAAGGTTTGGAACCAGCCACCAACACGAGAAGTGTGACTTTTATCACACTGGCAACCAAAAGACATTTGAGGACTAAGAGTGAATGAAGCACTTAGCAGAGGGCCAGGCACTGAACACATTTTAGATGCCATTTCTGTTGCTAGGATTGTATCAGGAAAGGTGGGCTGGGGATTAGGATAGGGTTGCGATGGGATTGAGCACTGGGATGGAAGTCTTGCTGTGGGTGGTGTTGGGGCCTAGGGGTAGATGGGCTAGATTAAGTGAGGCTAGAGTTGGAATGGTTTGGGCTGAGATGAGTAGATTCCTAGTAAGATCCCTACGAGTTGGAGCTGACTTACCTACAGGTTGGCAAAGGATCTCATCCTGGATGAGAGAACATCGATGCAGAGGCCCTGGTGTTCTACTGGTTCTGGGGCTGGTGACCAGGAGCCTGAGGAGGAGGGTAGACAGCAAGACTGAGCTGGCTGATGATCCCCTTTTCCCTGCCTGCCCAGGCAGTGTTCCCAATCCAGGCCCACATGCTCATAGGCTCCCTGTCTGGTAGGCTATGGAAAGGCAGACAGATTTCCAGCCCAGTCCCACTGACTGCATTACGGGGAGGGCATCTGCTAAACCTCTACTTCTGCACGGCACCAGGCAGGAAATGGTTAAATGCAAACCCTCTCTGCCTGCCGCCCACCCTAACAGAAGTGGAGGTGATAATGGTGATAAGTAAAACTTCTGTTCTCCTGTGGGGGAAGAGGTTGGAAGAACCAAGAAACCACCAGCAGCCGAATTGGTTCTGTTGGAGGCGGTGCTGGCTTCCTGGTGGCTGCCTTAGTGACATCAGTTCCTGAGAGGAACATACCAGTACCCCTATCCTATGGGTCTGTCAGAACTGGAGGTCTGGGGGTGGGCACCTTCATCTGATGAAGGCAGCCTCAGGAGATGTGATTCCTGATTGCAAACTTCTTGTCCCCACCCCAAGCCCACACCAAGGAGACAGCAGAGAGTCCAATGTTGTTCAACGTTCTCACTATCCATGCTGCCCAGGGAACACGGAGCTGCCTCGAGAGAGTGAGCTTCTGGGGTTGTAAGTAGGGGCTGGTGAGGAAGGGGCCCCTACTTGGTGTTAACAATGAACCAATTTCAAGGTCTTTCTGCTAAGGGCAGGAGGAAGCCATGGAGGACTTTACAAAAAAGAAGTACATGGTTAGTCTATGCTTTCAAAAGGTCATGAAATGGCTACAGTGGATGGGGGGACAGACTAGAGAGCACAGAACAGGAAGCAGAAATAGGGTAATGTCTCCACTTCCTCAGCTCTATCACTCTATGTTGCTTAAAATTATGAAATATATTCACATATACACATGGTTTATAGTAACAAAGTCTACACTTGTGTGTGTGTGTGTGTGTGTGTGTGTGTGTGTGTGTGTGTGTGTGTGTGTGTCTACCTGCTCCCAAGTGAATTCACCCCAAGTTGACATCACACTCTGGCTCAGCTCTTGTCAAGGTCACCGACCCAATGGACCCCTTTTTGTCCTCATCTTCCTCAATCTCTCAGCAGCTCTGGACAAGTAACCGTCTCTTCTCGAAACACTTTCGTCTGGATGTTGCCTTTCTCTCTTGTTACTCCTTCTCAGTCTCCTTTGTTGGCTTCTTCACCATCTGACCTCTAAGTGTCACCAGAGTCCTGGGCTTGGTCCTTATCTTCCTTGTTAGCACGCTTTCCCTCATGATCCCTCCCAATTCCACAGCTTCAACACACCCATAAATGCTGAAGTTCCCACCTTTCCCTCTGCAGCCCCAGCATCTCCCCACCAGATGTTACACCAGCATGGTTTGGTAAGCAGAAAAATAGCCCCCCAGAGATGTACACATCCTAATCCCCAGAACCTGTGAATACGGTACCATTTATGGCCAAAGGGACTTTGTAGATGTGATTACATTAAGGTTCTTGAGATGGGAGGATTATGTTGGATTATCTGGGTGGGCCCAATATAATAACAAGAGTCCTTATGAGGCAGGCAGGAGTATCAGAGTCAGAGACAGATTTGAAAATGCTATATTGAAGGCTTTAAGTTGGAGAAAGGGGCCACAGTCGAGGAATGTGGGTAGCATCTAGAAGTTGAAAAAGGCAAGAAAACAGATTCTTCCCAAGAGCTTCCAGAAGGAACACAGCCCTGCAGACAACTTGATTTTGGCCCAGAGGACCTGTCTCAGACTTCTGACCTCCAGAACCATAAGACAATGAATTTGTATTATTGTAAGCCACTAAATTTTTGGTAACTTGTTACAGCAACAATAGGAAACAAACAGAACTCATGGTCTTGTCCTCCCAAGACTGCTCCTTCTTGCCTTCCCCACCACAATGAATGGCATCACCAGTTACTCAGTTCTGAAGCCCGGGAGAGCATCCCTGCTTCCGTTTTTTGCTCATCCCCACATCCAATCCACCAGTCAACCCTGCTTGTTCTCTCTCCAAATTATATCTAGAGACCATCTCTTCCAGAGATTTCCCACTTTCCCTGTGGCCACTACCTTCCTGGTCTATGTATGATATTTGCCTCCTATTATTTTGTGGGGTTTATTTGGTTTTTTTGTTTACTCATGTACTTTATACCATGTGCCTTCCATCAGTGGCAGCCTCAGGTCCTGGACAGCCAGTTGCCAGGACTTTTCTGCCTCAGGCCCTCCACCTGTCTGTTCCCTCTGCCTGAAACCCGCGCCTCCCACTCTCCCCAAGGGTTTATTTCCATTCCTCAGCCTAGGTTAACTGTTACCTTCTCATAAATGCTCTCTCTAACCACCCCCGCCTCATAACCCATTTACTCTGCTTCACATCACCCTGTTTTATTTCCTTCTCAGAACTTGTCACTATCTGATAGTATCTTGTTTGTTTAACCTGCTTATTATCTGACTCCCCCACTAGACAGTAAGTTCCCCACGGATCTTGTCTATCTTGTTCACCATGTCATTCCCAGGACTTGGAACAACGTCTGGCACAGAGCAGAAAGACAGCCCAGGCAACAGCTGAGGGGGCTAATCTGGGGCAGAGCTGAATGCCAGAGGGCTGGGTGCAGCTCAGATCTGCTCTTCTATGTGAGCTTTGCAGATAAGCCCCTGAATTAGGTCATTTTCTCAGCAATTCCACCTCTCTCCCCAGACCCCTGACCAGCCTGAGCCTCATTCCCAAGCCCAGCACATTGTACCCTGCTCCACCATGAAGGGTAGGCTCAGAACTGGGCTCCACCCCAGAACACATTTTGCTGGGATAGATGCAGGCCTGGAACAGCCTCCATTCTCCTTCCTCTTTCATCCTTTGTTCCCTCTGCCTGCAATGCCTTTCAACTCTTTCTGCTGTAGAGCAATCATCACAAACACCAGCTCCTCAGGAAGCCTTCCCAAAGGAAGGTACAACTTGATCCCTGCTAGGCCCTCCACTAGCCCTGACTCTTGGACCCCACCCCATCTTTTCTTCCCACCTAGACCATAGATTCCCAAGAGACCGCCACATACAGCTGTGCAGGCTGTGCACTGCAGACCCCCAAGAGTATCACTCATATCACAATCATGCAATTATGTAGCCTGGGACCCCAACTGAGCTGCCTCTGCTCTCCATAGCTTTTACCACTCATGGTCCAGGAACCAAGTGGCTAACAAACCAACCAAACACTGACTGACCAGCTCTGACAGAGGACTGGCCACAAGCTGACAGCTCCTGGGGCCTATTACACTGGGCCAGGGGCAGTCCTGGAATGCCTTGCCCATTTCCTGCCAGATCTAACCTATCCCTATTCTCGGAGTCTATTCTCATGTCTCCCAGGGGGAGGGCCTGCTTTACCCACCCATACACACTGTGACAGCCAAAGCCCATGATGCTGCCAGCCTGGTCTGTCGTATTTTATGGAGAAACAGTGTGAAGGAAAGGGACATGCCATCCTCAAGCAGGAGCCCAGCCCCTTCCTTTGGCTATGGCCTGGGTCAGCCATTCAGTGCATTTCCTGCCACATGCAGCAGCCCTGTGGTCTCAGGCTCAATTATCTGCAGCAGGAACCCAGAAGTGCCTCCCACCACATCCTCCTCCCCAGCATATTCAAACCTGTGAGCCCCCCTTTGCTGCAGCAGGTGTTTGGGGAGGTTTTCAAGAGCCCATCTGGGCTCTTCCTCACCCCTTGGTGGTCTCAGAACCCTCTGCACCTGGGACTTCCAACTCCCCTCGTGCACCTTGGCCTTTAGGCTTCCGAGGGAGGGGGCATCAAAGTCTGCAAGGCCTGGAACTGGTAGGGGCAAAGCCCACTGGGGTATTGGTGGAAGGGAACTGGGTAGGAGATGGTCACAAATAATTCAGACTGAAATCTGCTCATGCACGGCAAACAGTTTGGAAAACTGAATGCTGAACCCATGTACAACCCATGACCTAGCAATTCTACTCCTGGGCACATGCCCAGTAAAAATAAGTACACTCATCCATCAAAAGAAAGTACACAGCAGTGGAGTTCATAACGGCCCATGGAAGCTGCCCAAATGCCCATTATCAATACTGTTCACACAGTGGAAAACTCTAGCAGCCAGAAGTAGCATTATTGCCTCAGGCAATACCATAGAGAAAATTCATAAACTTTATGTTGAGCAAGAGGAGCCCAATATAGAGCACAAACTGTATTGAGTTGGAGTCTCTGTCAGCCACACTGAAGTGCAGTGGCACAATCACAGCTCACTGCAGCCTCGACCTCCTAGGTTCAGGCGATCCTTTCACCCCAGCCTCTCAAATAGCTGGGACTATAGATGCACACCACAAAGCCTGACTTTAAAAAAAAAATGTTGTAGAGACAAAGGCTTACTATGTTGCCTAGGTTGGTCTCAAACTCCTGGGCTCAAGCCTCCCACCTGGGCCACCCTAAGTGCTGGGTTTACAGGTATGACCCACTGTGCCCCGTGAAGGCCTCATTTACATTAAGTCCAGCAACAGGCAAAAGTTATCTATGAAAATGAAAGTCAGGTGGAGGATACTCTTGACAAGGAATGTGTCTGGAAAGATGCACAGGGCCTAGAGGGGGCTTATGTGAGGTTCCTAAAGTCCTCTTGATTTGGATGTTGATTACACAGGTGATGCACTTTGTGGACATTCATTGAGCTGCATGCTTATTATGTGTGCATTTTTCTGTGTGGCACATATTAATAAAAATTTTCCCAAGAAAGCGGGACATCTGGCATCTGAGCGGGAACCTTTCTAGTGCCAGCAGTGAAAGAGAGAATTAAATATGGGTGATGTTGAGAAAGGCAAGATTTTTGTTCAGAAGTGTGCCCAGTGTCACACCGTGGAAAAGGGAGGCAAGCCTAAGACTAGACCAAATCTCCATGGTCTCTTCGGGCAGAAGACAGGTCAGGCTGCTGGATTCTCTTACACAGATGCCAATGAGAACAAAAGCATCACCTGGGGAGAAGATA